CTATTTTTGTGCATAATATTTGCAGCTGCTATTTTGGATTTGTTGTCGATTTTACGCTTAAGCCCATGCTTCTCAAAGACTATTTATAAGAAATGCTTTTAACCTATAAAGGGTGTGTGTGTGCCGTATTTTTGTGTGATATTTTTTCTAGGGTTTTTATGTTGTTCTTTGTGTTCCTCTTTTATGTCTTTTGACATCTGAGTAGGATTGTGTTAATTGTCAATTGTTCACTCACGAGCTTTTAAGCAAGAGTGTATTGTCCTTAGTTTAAAGCTTTTAAGAAAAATTAAGTATTGTTCTTGGAAGTATGTTTACTTCTATTTTGGGTTATTGTTGAATTGTCACTGGTTTGTGACTGATTAGGAAGTGAGAAGGGGGTCTCATATCTAGAGGATGTCTAGGTAGAAGTAGCACAATGTAGTGATTAGGTGATAAGTTGTAAACGGGAGAGTTTAGATTTGAAATAATATTGTCATAGTGAATTTCTTTCCTGCCTTGGTAGCCCCCAGATGTAGGTGACGCTGCACCGAACTAGGTTAACAACTATTGTGTGTTATTTAAATTCCTACAATTTTTCTTTAAATTGTTTTTGGGTTAATTCTGTTGTTACGACGTCTTGACATCATATCCGACATTTGTCCACTACGTGTCAAAATTTCAATAGGCATCAGAGCAGGCACCCTGTTCTATTTTGGGTGAGCTTCGGGGATATACTTTCTAGTACTAGAGACATGGAACTAGGATTTTTCAACATACCGCCTATTTTGAATGGCACCATCTATGATCACTGGAAGGGGCGTATAGTGACTTTTCTAAAATCTATGGATAGGAAAACCTGGAAAGCAGTTATCAAAGGTTGGGAACACCCTGTTGTGAAGGGCAAAGATGGGAATGACACAATTGAATTGAATCCAGAAGAGGACTGGTCCAAAGCCTTGAATACCTTATTCAACGGAGTTGATAAAAATATTTTCAGGCTGATAAATACATGTACCGTGGCCAAAGATGCATGGAAAATCCTTATAATCACTCATAAAGGCACATAAAAAGTAAAGATGTCAAGACTTCAACTTGCCACCACCAAATTTGAGAATCTCAGAATAAAAGACGACGAGTCCATTCATGATTTTCACATGAATATTCTAGATATTGCTAATACATCTAGTGTCTTGGGATAAAAGATGTCAGAGGAGAAGCTGGTTAGAAAGATTCTTAGGTCGTTGCCTAAGAAGTTTGACATAAAGGTCACAACGATTGAAGAAGTCCAAGACATCAACAACATGAAAGTGGAGGAGCTTGTTGGGTCACTTCAAACTTTTGAATTGGCTATCAATGAAAGATTTGAAAAGAAAAACAAGAGCATAACTTTTATCTCCAACACTAATGATGAAGAGGTTCAATGTGACATGGAGACTGGTGAAGGAATTTCTAATGATATTGTGCTTCTTGGGAGGCAATTCAATAAAGTGTTGAAGATTATGGATAGTAAGTCAAGACCAGATGTCAATAACATGTCATTCGACATCAGGAAGAACAATGATTTTCATAGAAAAGCAAGAACAGAGGAGAAGCCCAATCAAGGAAAAGGTAGTCAGTGTCATGAATGTGAGGGTTTTGGTCACATTAGATCATAATGCCCCACGTATCTCAAGAAACAAAAAAAGGCATGTCTATTTTGGGTATGATGATGATTCTGAAAGTGAACCTGATGTTGAAACTTCTAAGTATATTGCAGCCCTTACTGGCAGATGTGAATCTGATGAAGATTCCTATGATCAGAATGTCTCTTTTGAAGAATTGACTATTTCATACAGAGAGCTTTGTGTCAAAAGTGAAGAGGTGTGTAAGATAGGAGAAACGCATAAGAGAATCATAGCTCAACTACAGGTTAAAAAAGAGAATCTTTTATCTACTGTCTCTGGTCTTCAAGGTAAGGTAACTCTATTGAATTCTAAACTTGAAAACATTACCAAATTTTGTGAGAATGTTAAACAATGGATCTGATGTGTTGGATGAGATTCTTCAAGTTGGAAAAGGAGGTAAAATATTTACTGGTATAGGGTTTAATTATCAGTCTTTAAATAATCAAAGAAAAACCCTTGTGACAAAGTTTGTTCCTGCTAAAGTAAAGCATGAGCTCACGATGCCTGACCAAATGTTGCAACATCCTGCTAGACTTCAAAAAACTCAGACTAAAGCCAAGTTCCAGGCTTGGAAATGTCATTATTGTTGTAAATATGGTCATATAAAGCCTTACTGTTACATACTGTATGGTTATCCAAAATGTCCAACACAACCTAGGGCTAGTCATGTGATGATTAAGAATTAAAATGAGTGGAAACCTAATGGTGTTGATACTTCTAATTTAAATATTATTGTTAATAACATTATTGATACAAGTGCTCATATGTCTCTCTCTAAGATCATGGTTACTAACTCTGAGTCTGATGTTGTACCGGATGTCACAACATCCTTGGCCCAACCTGGTCATCTTGTTGGAACCACACAAGAAAATTTTCATAGTGAGAGTCCTGAAAAATCCCAAGAGAATGTGCCTGAAGATGATTTTGTTGGTAGTAAAAGAGATTATTCTGATGATAATCGTATGTTTGTTGAAGAGGAGAAAGATCTGTTTGACAAAGAAGATAAAGAAGAGAGTGGTGGTGCGAAGAAGGATCAATTTACTGACATACTCAATGTAGATGGTCTAGATTACTGGTATAGTAGTGTGCTTGGTATGTTTGCTTGGTATAAGGTTGTTGCTTATGATTTTGATCTACCTTTCTTTTGCTTTGATGAATGACTGATTGGTTTGTCAATGTTCTAGCTAAAAAGGGGAAGTAGTAGTATTTATGTGCTTCCATCTGTTACTGTTTGTTTCCATCAGTGTTTATGCTTTATGCATTATTTGTGTTTGCTTCCATATGTGTGATTTCATTTATGATTGTTTACATTTACTCTATGTTCTTTTTGCCAATTTTTGGCTAAAAAAGGGGAGTAAAGTGTTATCATGTTTGTTGTTTCTAATGTTGGATCAGATGTCATGACTTCATGTCATGTGTTTTACTACTGCTTAGAAAGAGTAGTTTTCATTGTTTTTGCTGGTTGTATGCAACTTTTAGGGGGCATGATAGTCTATCATGCTTGCTGCTGCTACTGATGTGGAACCATATGTTGTGTCTAGGAGAATGCATTTTCTCTACAGTAGGTTGTGATGTTCAGGGGGAGAGTGCTTATGTTTGGTGTTTCTTAGTTTGGTTCTATTGTAAGAACTTGCAAGAGTTCATGTGTGTTTTTCTTGTTATTTTGGTTTTCCCCTTCAGAGGAAATACTGGTTATGTATGACAGAAGGAGTTGTGTACCTGTCTGATATGTTGATGCGAAATTGCAGTTTGTACAAAGCTTACATGTTCTCATGTAGCTTGTGTTATTTTGATTGTTTTGAGATGTCAGACCAGGTGTCTTGACATTGTGTTGTCATGTGTGCTCTATTATTTTGACAGCATTATGATTGAGTTTGTGGTTCTTGTTGTTTGTGCTTTTGTTTGTTTTCGCTGTTTATGTCTCTGATGTGTGCTAAATTTGTTTTAGCCAAAATTTTCCAAAGAGGGGGATTGTAAGTTCTGTGATTTTTGGATTTGCTACATTTTGGTAAAACAGCATGTTGGTAGCAAGATGTTAAACCAGATGTTCTGCCATGACAGACAGACATCATGTTCAACATGTTGTGACATGTGCCAAGATATGTTATACCAGAAAGTTAGGGCATAAATGTTTTGGTATTTTTAGCGTGATTTTTTAGTGTGTTTTAATTCACACATTTGCTTTATCCAATGGAGGATATTGTGGGATCTTTTGTTTTGACAGATTCTGTTAGTTTTCATATAAAAAAAAAATCCTTGAGCCTTTTTAGGAAACTTTATATTTGGTTCCTATTTTTGTGCAAAAAATTATGCAGAATATTTGCAGCTGTTGTTTTGGATCTGTTGCAGTTTTTAAGCCTAAGTTCATGCTTCTCAAAGGCTATTTATAAGAAAGGCTTTTGACCTAGAAAGGGTGTGTGTGCCGTATTTTTGTGTGAAAATTTTTCTAGGATTTTTGTGTTGTTCTTTGTGTTCCTCTCTTATGTCTTTTGACATCTGAGTAGGATTGTGTTAATTATCAATTGTTCACTCATGAGCTTTTAAGCAAGAGTGTATTGTTCCTGGAAGTGTGTTTACTTCTATTTTGGATTATTGTTGAATTGTCACTGGTTTGTGACTTATTAGAAAGTGAGAAGGGGATCTCATATCTAGAGGGTGTCTAGGTAGAAGTTGCACAAGGTAGTGATTAGGTGATAAGTTGTAAACAGGAGAGTTTAGCTTTGAACTAATATTGTCATCATGAATTTCCCTCCTGACTTGGTAGCCCTCAGATATAGATGACATTGCACCGAACTGGGTTAACAACTATTGTGTGTTATTTAAATTCCTGCAATTTTTCTTTAAATTGTTCTTGTGTTAATTTTGCTGTTACTGCGTCCTGAAATCATATCCAACATCTGTCCACTACGCGCCAGAATTTCACTAACAATATACCATCAACAAAATTCATGACAATATCATTGCAGCCATCATCTCAATGGCAATAGCAGTCCATTAACAACTTGCCATCCAACTAACTAAACATGATAAGTAGTAGCTGGCATAACCTTCTTAATAAGCTCATCATACATAGCATTCCAAGGACATGCGCTTTCAATCACTATTTTTCACATTCAAGAAACCTCCTTACTAACTACAGCTAACCTATAACCTCTAACAGTCTTGACAGTGTGTAAGCATTAACCAACTTCTTTCTAATCATAAGCTAATTGCATTGAAACTTAATTATTTTCCAACTTCAGCTAATTTAAAGTTTGTTCTTAACTAATTCCAAAACATTTTACAACAGCTCATTAACATTGATTGAAACTAACAGAGTAATATGGAGAATGTAACAGACCTGCCTTAGACTTCAAATTAGCTAGCTTTAGCAAGATGTAACCAAATTAGTCTCCTAGCTAACTGCATTTTCGTAACACATAGCATAACTGCAGGATATAACAGAGTTTCAACATAACTAGTAACTAACTCCATGGTATAACTAATAACAATTTAACCACCAAATGGCAACTAATTTCATCCTAATCCATATTAACTAAACTAACAGCTCAGTGTCAGCTAAGCCCTAATAGAATGCAACTAATTCTAACTAACTCTTCGTGAACTTCCAAATCTAACCCTCACTCTCAACTGAATTCTATTAAGGGGAAACTCTATAAATTCGAAGCACCATTTCACAATTTCATCTACACTCTACCATTTTCTCAAAATCACAATCACTCTCCAACTAATTCTCTCTCAGTCCCTCCCAATCTTCTCTCAACCACTCATAACTCTCTGCACTGAAGCATCGTCAATTTCAAGCACAAACATCACATTAATAACACGAAGAACCCGTCCTATAGACTAAAGAAGAAGTGAAGAAGAAGCAAAGAGAATCAGAGGTAGAAGAGGAGATTCAGAAGCTTACCAGTAGCATTTTTCACATCCACCTTTGTTCTTGCTGCGAACTCCATACAATCGAGGGAAAGCTCCTTGAGGTAGGTTTTTTCTTCCTTTTTTGCCTCAAATTGTGTTACTGCAATGTAGATTGGTGCTCTAGGAGCCAAACCCCGATGTAGATTGATACTATACTTTGTCCTGAAATTGATATTTTGTGTTACTTGCAAAGAAATTGGTCTCATCATTGTTGACTTATCCACATAAACAAAATAGCATACTGCAGTCGATAGGATTGAGCTTGACGACTTTCATGTGATCTTGACAATATTGGGCTTGAAAGCATCCACCCTTTTGACAAGAACTTCGTCATGTTTGCAAGTCATGAAATTCACAGTAATAGGTGTCTACCAGAAGCTCCAAACATCCTTGGAAGTTGAAACCAAGTATAGTATCAATAATCGACATTTTCTAAATATATTTGCTAGAGACATTTCAGTTCACTATGTGGTGTAAAAGAAAAATGTATGATACCAACATCTCAAATCAGGTAGTATTCTTTCATGAAATGTGAAAATTAATATAACAAAAGTGAACAAACTTTCAAAGATTCATGAATCAATAGTATAACTATAAATAAGAAAAATACCTGTACCGAAATAAAAGGCGTCTACTGGAAGCAACAAACATCATTGGAAGTTGGAAACGAGCATATGATTAGGAATCCTCATTTTTCAAAGATATTATCTTCTAATCAACTGCTGATGACCTGGCTCCACGGCGAAGAGAATTCCAGGTTGGATTTCTTTTCTTAAGAATCGTTTTATCTCTAATACCATCATATAATAGTTCATAGGCATGATAAGTTATATGTCCCTTTTTCAACAAATTTTCTACAACAATCTTAGGTGCTGCTACCACCTTTTTATCAGCTTCAAAAATTGTATTCACAGTATCTGGCACAATGTCCTTTTGTACCATAAGGTGGATGATACCAACCGCTTCTTGAACCTTGTGCTCCACGCAAAGACAATTTAAAACCCGTCCAAATGTTGTCAGTGATGGAATAAATCCCTTTTCAATATTCTCCAATAGAAAACTGTATCCACGGATAACATTTCCCGTTTTGCAAAAGCCATCAATTATGACCCTGTAAGTATAGTTGTCTGGGTCACAGCTATTTTTTTTCATCTCAGAGAAGAGTCTTACGGCCATTTTCATATTGAGTTGTTCCGAAAATGCACAAAGCATGATATTATAGGTTGCTGTTGTATGACAAACTTCAGATTGTTTTTCCATCCCTCTAAATAACCGATAAGCACCATCAAGATCCCCAATGTTGCAGAACCCGGTGATCAATGTGCCAAAACTAACTACATCAGGTGTCAAGCCCTTGCTTTTCATTTCCCCAAGCAAATCTACTGCTTCATTTACTTTCTTAGATTTGCAAAGGCTTTCTATGATAATGTTATACGTAATTATGTTTGGAGTACATCCCTTCTCCGGCATTGCCTTGAAAATCTCCATTACTTCTTCGGACTTTGCAGCCTTGCAGAGCCCATTCAACAAAGTGTTATATGTGATAACATCAGGAGTCATACCTTGACTCCACATTCTGTTCACCAACTCAATTGCACTGTCTAACTTCATCTGTTTGCAATAGCCATCAACCAAAGTGTTGTAGGTAAATATGTCTGGGATGCACCCTTTGGCTATAGCATCATTTATAAAATGATTAGCATCAGATAAACAACCCATCTTGCACAAGCCATTTATGATTAGATTATAAGTCCATATATCAGGGTGACAACCATTTTCTGCCATCTCATTCATGAATTGTAAAGCCGGCAAAATCAGTCCTTGCTGACATAACCCTTTAATCAAAGTATTGTAAACAATAACGCTTGGCATTAAACCTTTACCTAGCCCATCCTTAAAGATGGCCACGGCCTGATCAGGGTCACTATCCTGGCAAAAACCATTAATTAATGAACAATAGGTAAACTCATCAGGCTTAAAACCCTTAAAAACTGCATCTTTCAGAATCCTATTTGCATCCACTACCATCCCCTTCTTGCAGTATCCATCAATAATACTATTATAAGTGAAACAATTCGGCTCAAATCCACCATTAACCATTTTATGCAAATATTCCTCAGCTTCAACAACCCGCGAATTCCTACACAGCCCACATATGACTGTATTATAACTAACAACATCAGGCCTCAAACCATCCCCTGACACACAACCCAACAACCTAACCGCCCTATCAAGAGAACCTTCCTTACAAAGCCCTTGTATAAAGATATTAAAAGTAAACAAATTCGGAGAAACCCCTCTCTTGAAAACCTTATTAAGAAGCTTCTCACTTTCCAAAACAAGACCCTTCTTACATAAAATATGAACAAGCTTATTAAAAGTAGTAACATCAGGACACAAAGAACATTCAAGCATTTCATCAAACAGCTCACGTGCTTTCACTTTATCATCAAATTCATAAAACCCCGCAACAACAGTGCAATAAGCAACGGCATTTGAAAAACAACCTAACAAAGGCATATTCCGAAGCAACCTAAGAGCAGCATGAGGTCTACGTGTCCTACAAAACGACTTAATCCTTATGGTGTACGTATACACATCTGATTCAACCCTTTTATCAATCATCCTCATGTAAACCTTATGAGCCTGGTTGAAGTAACCAAACTCAACAAGAATGTTCATGATAGCGTTATAGGAATGAACAGAAGGATCGCAGTTGTATAAATCCATGCGTTCGAAGGTGTCAACAGCTTCTTGAACTTTCCCTTTTCTTCCATAGAGTCTCATGGCTTCAACGTAAGCTCCTTCCAAGAACGAGTTGTTTAAATTCGCTCTCATCTCAGAGAGAAGATTCTCCATCTCGTTGAATTTGCCATGGAAGCCAAGCTTTTGAAGCATGCATTTGTAGGTGAATAGAGTGTGGTTGAACCCTTGTTCGTTTTTGGCTGAGTTGAACATCTCCAATGCTTTTAGAGGATCTTTTTGTACCTTAACTACAGCGTCAACATGTTTGGGAAGCAACGCACGAATCATTCCAACAGTGTTTCAGTTTTCAGGTTTGTTTTGCAAATGGAACTTGCCTCTGCAATTTGAAAAATGAAAACGAAAACAAAACGAAGCGTTTTGATTCTGCTTGTAGAAACGATTGCCGCGTCATTAAAATAGGATCCACGTGGCGAAATCTGAATGGTGTTTCGCTTCGAAGTGCGAGATTGAAATTTATGTATTTGTAACGGCGGAGAGAAAGGGAGAAGCAGAGAGAGAGAGAGAGATGGAATCGGCGGGACAGTGGCTGGAGAAGGCGTTGGTGGAGTTGTGTTCGAAGATCGAAACAGGTTTGGGTTTAGGTTTAGATGAAGAGATTATAAAAGGGCTTGTTTCTTACTGTGATCTTGCTCAGCCACGAGATGCTAAAGAGTACCTTGACGTAACCCTCGTTTCCCTTTTTCTACTTCTCTTTTGTCAGTGAATCGTTGAATTCGTCTATGAAATTGTAGCACTGGTATAATATCAATGTTAATAACGTTTTTTATTTTGTGGAATTTAATCAATTTGTCGTTATTGTTGTTTTTTTTTTCTTAATCTGGACTCTGCACACCAACTACTTGCGTTAAATATCGTTATTCTGCTAATCAGATTAATGTGTTCTTTTTATTGGGTTAGATACATAGGTTTCAACTTCAGAAGTTTCATACTTCAGCTTTTTTTAAAAATTGATGGCAGTTCTTGTTTTGTTGAAGTCTGGTCTGTTTCACTGCATAATTGTTGTTGCTGGTTTACTAATTGTTTGGGTTATAACTTTGATGGGCCTATTTTAAAGATGTGAGATGGCCTGTTTTAGGTTCTTAGGTCCATCCCAGTAAACAAACCTTAAAACTTAGTCATGCTAGTACCTCTTGATTAAATTGATAATTGTTTTTTAGGAGGACATAAATTGATGTTTAAGGATGGACTTTTTGAATGTCTTTACTATGCTTTCATATTTGAATTTTTGTGGTGGGCCTTGTTTCAACATATTCTTTGTTGTATTGGTGAATGGAATCTTGTTACCTCTAAATGGAACATTTAACATGCAAAATTTATTTCTGTATCCCTTTGCAGAATATTATTGGTCAAGAAGTAGGGAAACCTGTGATTGAAGAATACCTAAGACGGAGAGGTCACTCAGAATTTAGCACTAAATCAGATGTTCCAACTACTACATTACATGCCTATGTCAAACCACCTGCAGTGGAGACATCTGCCAGTGGGTCTAAGAAATCGATGAGAACACCAAAAACAGTAACCGTCCGCAGTGACCATGCAGAACCCAACAAAAATGTTGTTGGCAGTAGTAAGGACAATGGGATTCCGGCTACAGGTAGTGAATCAAAAACATCACAAAAAGGAAATCAGAGTTCCAGAAAGAAGAAAGCTGGGAAAACTATTTCACTTGCTGAGGCTGCCAAGGGGTCGATTGTGTTCCAGCAAGGAAGACCATGCTCTTGTCAAGCGCGTCGTCACATGCTGATCAGCAATTGCTTATCTTGTGGTAAAATTGTTTGTGAGCAAGAAGGAGAGGGACCTTGCAATTTTTGTGGTGCACTTGTGTTGAAAGAAGGCAGCTCATATGCTGGTCTGGAAGAAAGTTTGCCTCCCTTGTCAGACGCTGAGGCTGCTGCTGAAGCTTATGCAAAAAGACTTGTCGATTATGACCGAAATGCCGCAGCTCGTACAACAGTTATTGATGACCAAAGTGACTACTATGAGCTTGATGGAAATACTTGGTTGTCAAAGGAGGTATTCTATTTTGTTTAAAACTTGTCATCTGGTTTTCTTATTATGACATATATTTGGATTTGTTTTCAATTTTATCTTTCTTTCTTTAGGAGAAAGAACTATTGAAGAAGAAACAAGAGGAGATAGAAGAAGCTGAACAAGCAAAACGGAATAAAGTTGTCGTTACTTTTGATCTAGTTGGCCGAAAGGTTTCTATTTTAGCCTTATGGTCTTTGCCTAAACTTACTAGTTTGGTTTGCTACAACATGAGTTTTATAGTAGGATTGGAAACAGACGTCTTTATTAAGTCAACGTTTTGGGATCTATGTATGTATCTAATGTTATCATGGTTATCGAACTTAGATTCATAGTGTGAATCATTAATCGAATCTTATTATGAATGGTAAGATACGTTACTAATAAAAGTATAACATTCTTAAGTAAAAAAAAAGCGACATATTAAAATTACAAGTTGTAAGATATGTTACAACTTAAGCATAAATCAAATTAGACTCGTTAGACTTAGTTTAGATAGTGATGCATCAGAATAAATCACAATTCATGTCCAAGATAGATACATACTAGGGATTCTAATTTCTATCGAATCAAGGTAAGACTCGCATTTTTATTAACTGATAACCAGATTTACATATTATTGGTGGTGATTTGTACTGAATGGAAGTTTTAAATGTACCATGCACTAACTCTTTTAGGATCCTATTCGATTAACTATAGTGAATCTATGCAGTTTTAGAATTAGAGCCTAAACTAGAAGATTTAGATGCATTCTTCTTCTTCTTTACTTTTTCTCATTGTTGCTTATATCTTTGTCTGCGTTCTAGTTTACTGCAAAACAGATATAATGCAAAGTATCTGTTTTCTCATTTTGGATTCTAAATTATATCTTTCAGGTTCTTCTGAATCAAGATGAAGTTTCAGAATCAAAGTCCGACAATAGAATATTACGTGCACCAGATGAAAGAGAAGTGAACCGCATTAAACCAAACCCAACTCTTAAGATTCAGCCAGTTTTTGTGGACCTGGGCTTCAGCAAGAAGTCTGCTAACGATAGGCAAGCAAACAAAGGTAAGCAATCAAACAAAGGTTTAAACAAGGGGTTGTGTTTGGAGATTACTGGGAGGGTGCAGCATGATAGCAATGACTTGAAGTACCTTCAGCAAAGCCAATTCGCAACAGATTCAAATGAAAAAAATTGGCGAGTACCGTCAGGAAATGGAGGGCTACATGTTGAAGATGATGGTGAATGTTTACTGGAACTATGATGAATAAAAAGCTTCGACATTTTTTTGTTTATGCATCGGCATCAGAGTCTTGATTATCTTTTTGAGAGAAAGGAAATAATGAAGTTAAGAATTTTTGGCAGTGTATCTTTTTCTGGGATGCTTGTGCAGATATAAATATCACTATATTGTCTATTCCTATATAGAGCTCTGGGATGCTTGTGCAGATATAAATATCACTATATTGTCTATTCCTATATAGAGCTCTGGGATGCACATGCATCAATTGTTTCAATCTTTCAATTAATCATAAATGCTTATATCAGTTATTTTTGTAATCATTTAGAATGTGGTTCAATTATTTTCATGCTAGTGTTTTCGTAAACAATTCTATAAAGTATTTGTACCAATTTTTTTCTACTTTTTCTGTTTTGGTGTCTAATGTTTGTATCATTGTAACCATTTCCCTTGTTTTTTATCTCATTTCATTTCCCCCCTTTTTCATTTCTTGCTCTTGCTGCACTAATTTCTTACTTATAGTCAAAGTAGGAATCAATTTCATTTGATTTATACACGTGATAGCGACACTTTATTGATATACAACGTTTGATTAGAGTTAAAAATTACACAGGATGAAGTCAATAATCAAAACAACCAATGACACTTTTTAGGTTGTCTCCTCCACCTCAATGTTTAAGTTAACCAATTTGGTAGTCCAAATAATGAAGCAACAAAATCATCAGATTGTCTTCATAAGAAACATAATGAAGGAACAAGTTCCTATAAAATGATGAGCAAAATAAAATTGTTTGAAAGTGGTCGAATAATGAAGGGAACAGGTTTCTATATTCAGACTTTGATATGGTGGACTACTTTGGTGATTGAAAATGTATTATTCATGTATGGGGTTATTTTTAATATGTATTTAATGCTTTTACTAAATTGATCATCATCTACGATTATTAGTTAGAAAGAAATTTCAACTCTTAATATTCTGATAAAAATATTTTTGCTATTTATCATATAGGCCTAGGGATGAAATCATGAAACTGCATTATTTTTGTTTATAAAAAAAGTTTAGTTCTATCTATAACTCACTAATGGCCTTAAAAGTTAATTTAGAATTAAAGGTGTATTCATTAAGGAATTATGGATAGCTAATATGGGGAATAGTAGTCATAGCTAATACGAGGAATAGTAGTCATAACAATAATAGATTTCATAGGAAGGTTGATTTTAGATATTAGGACGAAGTAAAGTTAGTCTCATCTCTAACCTATTTTACTATCGTATTAAATTCAAAAACAATTCATTTTAGTTTTTAGTATAAATATTCAACTAACCAAAAACAATTCATTTTAGTTTTTAGTATAAATATTCAACTAACCAAATTAGATAGTTTTATTCAACTGGGTCAAAAAATTAAATCTAATAATGTTAGCCGTCTTTGAGTTTGACACTCAACAACTTTTGAATTTGAGACTCGACAATTTTATCATTTTTTAAACTCACAACAATTTAGTACACTTATAAAAATTAAAATCAAGTTTTTAGCATTGTTGTCAAGAACCGTCAATAATATCGAATTTTAAGTTTTATCAATTAAATTTTTTTGCTATGTAATGAAATTTATGTTTTATTTATTTTATTTCATATTCTAACCCGCTAACTTTTTGTTAACCGTGTATGTGAGGTCAATCCTCAGCTGAATTTATTTTTGATGAAGAGATTGGGAAAAATGTTCATACAACTCAGAAGGAAATTCTATTAAGATGCAAAAAGAAAGTGAGAAGTTTAGCCACTATGAAATAAAAGAAAAAGCAAAGTCAGGAGATCAAATGGAAGATACAAGTAGAAAGAGTCTTATGAGACTATGGGGTTGCAAATGTAAATGGTAATAGACTGACTATTGTTAAAGCATAAATAATTCGTCCATAGGATGAATGAAAATGCCAATAAACATCTAACAAGGAGCATTAATACATAGGCAATCGTGGAAACAACATCCTTGAATGAGTATTTTTAGCATCTTTG